GGTCGTGAAGCGGATGTTGCTCCCGTGACTCCTGTAGTAATCTAAGGCCATGAAAGGTCACCACTCACCACACTCACCAGCAATTGTTTGACGATAACTTCGGATAGAGACATACTACAGCGATGAAAGCAACTTGAATGCTTAGCCCAATTAAACGAATCGCTATAGATGCGACATGGACGTTTCCGGCCGGGAACCTTGATCTCCCTTCAAATCTTTAAGTTTACCATTAGATATATTTCATTCAGGCACGTACCCAGGATTTCGCCCAGGAGGGGGCCACCTGCTTTCGAAGGGGCCCCCCACAGTGTATAGGGCCCCCCAGGTTCCCCGGGGCCCCCGGGAGTCATGAAGAACCTTTCGATGGTGGGGGGGGGGGGCATAGTGGGTCCGGTCTCTCCTGCAGACGTAGGTGAGAAAACGCCACGTGTGTGGGAAAACGCAATTCAGTTCTTTACAACCTAATGTAGCATTTGGTTGTGATTTCTCGCGTTCAACTTCATCAAAGTCAATTAAAACGGTCTCTGTAACGGTCTAAGCCTTGAGAAAATTGAAAAATAAAAATATTTTTGCTTGAGGAGTGTGCATGAAACGCACGGCATTTTATGAGCGAGCGCCTCAATTACTGAACATCCTCCAATTCCGGATATGTAGGTATATAATACAATAGTGCAGGGAATAAATGTCTCGTTATCGGAATTCCACTATCTGGCAACTAGCCCTATGTAAACGAGGCTATTATATGTTTCACTAGGAATCGAGCGCAATTGTACTTTTAGCCAGAAAATAAATGTTAGGGTAATTCTGGGACACTCTGTATTAATTGGAGGAATAGGACTTAGGAGGAAATGCGATTGCAAATCGACCCACATCCCTGTGTTAGCCAATGACGCCTTTGGGGCCAAGGTTGGGGGGTATTCAGTTTAGCCTTTTTGTTTTTCTGTGATATCTCCGGCACCGTGAAAGATATTGGCTCCTTCAGATGAGTGCCTACTCCAGTCACTACTTATATCCAGTAGCCAGTAGCCACTCAGATGATTTGGGATCAATCAGGTGATAAGCGTACTTTCAGACGACCAGGGGCCCCCAGTCGACCAGGGGTTCCCACGCGACCAGGTCCTCCAGATGACTAGGGGCCCCACTGCCCCAGGCGACCAGGGCCCTCCAGGCGACCAAGGGCCAATGCGATCAGGTCCCCAAAGCGATCAGGGGCCCCCAGGCGACCAGGGGCCCCCAGGCGACCAGGCCCCCGGCTACCAGGGGCCCCCAGGCGACCAGCGGCCCTCAGGCGACCAGGGGATCCCAGGCTACCAGGGGCCCAAGGCGACCAGGGTCCCCCAGGCGACTAGGGGCGACCGGGGGCCCCAGGCAACCAGGCCCCCCGGCTACCAGGGGCCCCCTGGGCGACTAGGTACCCCCAGGCGATCAGGGGCCCCCTAGGCGACTAGGGGCCACAGACTATCAGGGGCCCACACGACCAGGCCCCCGGCTATCAGGGCCCCCTAGGCAACTAGGGGCCCCCAGTCGATCAGGGGCCTCATGCGACCAGAGGCCCCCCATGCGACCAGGGCCCCCTAGGCGACTAGGGGCCACAGGCTATCAGGGGCCCCCATGAGACCAGGCCCCCGGCTACCAGAGGCCCCCTAGGCGACCAGGGGCCCAAGAAACTGGGGGCCCTTGGATGACTGCAGGGGCCCCTCGGGTACCCAGGGCACATAAATGAGACTGTAATATCAATTTTTCTTCGAGTAAAGACGTTTTATCCAGTGTTTAAAAAATATCCTGGGGCCTGAGGGGCCCCCTGAGCGCCTTGGGCGCTCAGGGGGGGGGGCCTTGGCCCCCGTGCCCCCCCCCCTTGGGTACGTCACTGATTTCATTTGACACATCTCGACGAATGTAATACGATGCAGCTAAAATGAATGTCATGTAAACTTTATGCCAAGTTATTGCAAAACAGAATATCATACACAAAAACGTCAAATTTGACGGTTTTTGTGCTCAGAGTCAGGAGGCTAAAAGGAGTTATCTGAAGGCCAAATCTGAGGACGCAGTGGCAAAAGACCTTCAGATGAGCTTTCAAAACGCTTTTCCGATGCACCGTGGCTCTATTCGTTCACCAATTATGCGCCGCTTTGTTTAAAAATGTGGGAATCGTGGAACTTTGACCTCTGGTGACCTAACCTATGACCTGAAGTAAGGAATGACGTCAGTGATTTTTGATGATTTGTGTATGCTTTTTTAAGTGGCTTACCGCGTGTCTACTGTCTCGGAAGCTAAGTTAGACGGGGAAGGCGTTCACGCATACACTCCCACTTCCAGCGGGAGTGCCCCACTCCCAGCGGGGAGTGGCATTCCAGGAGAGCAGCGGTGCGCAAGGGGTAATGCCCTACCGGTAGAAACTGCAATGGAAGAAGCAAAGTAGTTCGGCCATCATAAACGACTTTTTGCTTATTTAAGTCGTAGAGGGTGGTCAGCAGATCACTTAGTTGGAGCCAGGAGTCATATGTTACCAAATGTGCCCACTCAAATAATTTCAGAAAATGTTTTCCGATAGAGTCTGTCAAAAGCATTACAGAATACAGAGTCTCGGAAATGGTTCATAAATATGGATCACCAGTAAAAAAGGTGGCAGCGGGCAAAGTGTAAACAAGCGAGGAATAACTCATTAAAGGCTGCCCCACACTGGAACTCGCATGCGGGTTGCGAGTTTGCGGGTTCTGAGTTTGCGGACATAATACTAATTCATAGAGTGATTAGACCGTTCCCTTATGGTAACTTCATAAATGCAGTGAAGCCGATACGCCTTTAGAAAATTACATATAGTTGCAATACCAGCGCAGCGAACCAAAATTCGATTCCAACGAAAAACCCGCAAGCCTCGCAGAACTCGCAGACCTCGCAGCGAGGAATATCGAAAGTTGACTCAAAATCAATTTTTGGAACACAATGCAAGGTGGCTCGCAAGCTAGAAACATGCAGACTCGCCTGTTAGATAGTAATGTGGGTCACTCAGCTTAGATTGTATTATTTGATTTGGAAGAAGCCCAAAAATCCCAAAACTCGCAACCCGCATGCGAGGTCCAGTGTGGGGCGGCCTTAAGGGAGCAGCTCGATGGCTGACTTAATTTTTTAGTAAAAATATCTTATCATTTTGACACTTGCACGAAACATCTCGTGACATCGACAGTACTTACTGCGAAAACATGAGCACGATATCTCGCAGACCCCATAAACCGGTCATGGCTTTACACTTAACAGCCGTGCATAAGAAGTCTTTAAAATTTTCAGAAGTGGGACTTAAGTAATGATCAAGCACGGTGTTAGGTAATAGGTATGGACTGGGTATAAAGAAAATGACAAATCGACTCGAATTTGCACGTAAACATATAGGTATATTGACAGTCTAAACAAATAATGTAGTGTTTATAAGGTGTCAGAACGTCAGAGGTGGGTCAGGTGTATAGCAGAGCTACGGTTGAACCCAGTGACGGAGCCGGGGACAGGGCGGGTCGCCGGCTGGGCGGCGGCTGGGCCTTCCTTCCGTCCGACTCCGCTCCCCGAACCACCCCGCGGCGCGGCGCGCGGCCGTATTGATCAGCGGGGCAGCGGGCGGCCGGCGGGCAGCGGCAGCGGGCAGGCAGCGGCAGCGACAGCGGGCAGGGTGTGCGACAGACCGACATCAGCACGTCGGGCACCGTCACATAGCTCACCGGGCATCGCCTATATATTTCACACCGAGCACCATGTTCGTTAGCCCAGGTTCGTTAGCCAGCTCATAGTGTCGGCCTGATTCAATCAGGCAGCGGCTCGCCAGGCAAACCATAAGGAGCCGCAAGAAAACTACAAGAAACCGTACGGTTCCCGAAACAAACAAAAAAAGTTTTCATTGTAATAAAACCAGGTTGAATCCTAAACAACGACCACATAAGTCTGAGTTCTGGTTGACATTACTGGTTTCCACCACCCTAAGTTATCACGTCTAGAGCCGTTCTAACCAGTCGCGAACCGCTCCAACCATTCACGAACCGTTCTAACTAGTCGCGAACCGTTCTAACCAGTCGCCGTAGTCTGCAGATCAGCCAGCCACCGTGAGCAGCAGCATTACTAGACAACAGACCACCAGCCGTTCAGGGATGAACGGGGACGCAGCCACGAGGGGGCCGACGGGGGCTGAAGGGGACAGCCACGAGGGAACAGGAAGGAACACAGCCACGAGGCCGAGAGTACCGGAGAGGACACACTCTTCGCCCACTCAGAGTGTCTATATAAACTGGGGACCGGCAGCGGGTCTCTCCGACGCTAGGAACGGACCGACGACACTACGGGAGGACTGCCAACAGTGGCTGGTCCCAGTTATACCAGCGATGGCACCATGGGTCACCCAATGAATACCAGGGGCACCGCCCACATGGTACGGCCACCGTCTGTGTGACACCGGGTGAGCTGGGACTCATTAGACAGCTTCATAGTACTCGCAAAGGCCTGTCAGCGCGATATTGGTACATTCGATGAATTTTTTGGGCATTATGCTACTGTCCTGAGCATCGATTTGAACTGTAGGCCAGCCAATCGGCCAAAATGCATTATCGCAGGTGCCAGGGTCTACTTCACTTTTCGGTAAACCCATTAACCAGTTTACCAAAGTTCATAATGTTATGCCACTGTGCCCATGGGCTGTTATTCCATGGTTACCCAGTCCCAGAACGGCAGCTGGCGGGCCGGCCGCCCGGTGCCGGTACCGGCGGTGGCGGCGGCGGTAGCCAGTGGCTGGCGCGGCCCGCCCTCCGTCTCCGTCACGAGTGACCAGCGAGCACTCGGCACCCAGCCCACTCGCGCCATTTTCTCGGACGCACTGCACACTGAGTACGGCATTGCAGTGGCGCAGCCAGCCGGCAGCCGAGCGCCGAGGCAGCCATATCCGACTCCCCCCCCTCTCCCCACCAGCAGGCCACGGACTCAACTGGCCAGTCAAAGGGACCGTGTGGGCGGTCTGCACTCACCTGGGCAGGCATTGAAGCCATCGAGGTCGCCACTCCCTGCTGGATCAGCTGTAACAGAAGGAAACGGACAGTCAGCGACCACTGACCAGTCCAACAGTGAACGTGCCCGACCCGTAACTGACGCTGAGGCTTGTCTTTTCGCTATTCATACTTATCGCTCCAGCAAAATATTGTGTGCATGGGACATTCGTACGAGTCCTGTCATTATCCCTATCAAGTCCACCTCCCGCCTGGATGGCCTGGCCATCCAGCCAAAGTAATTTTGCTCCAGCCCGCCTTTCAGTGCCGACCATTTCGGGAAACTGTCGGAGTCAGTCGGAGGTATTACGTCACATGGCACACCAAAATAGGACGAGGCATGTGCGAATGAAAATGTGCTCATGATAACAAATCGTCCATGTCGGTAATAGTGACCATTTAAAGAGAGCCTCCGGTGTTGATTGAATGTAATTTGTGAAAAGGAAGGAGCTACAGGGTAAAGGTACGATTTTATAGCGTCCAAACGTGCACCATTAAATTCCGCCTCACAAGGCGCCATAATGAAGATGTAGCTTCACGTGCGATGTAACTTATTAGACAGCTTCATCGCAGGGTAGGTGCTGAGGTAGTATATTTAACCCCACCTCACTGTCTCCCACCAGCGTGCAAAAACTCGGCTATTGTTGGTCTATTCCCGGTACCGCCGCGTGCGGCGTGGTCCGTGTGCCAGGGGTCGAGGTCCTGAGCCCGGACCCGGACCCCAGGAGGCTGGTCGGCCGGTCGCCGTCCATGTGTCGGCCCGGACCCCGGACTGGCAGGACGGCCGGTCCGGGCGGCGCGCCGGACTCCGGACCCGCGAGGCGCGCGGTCGCCAGCCGCCGCCGACCGACCGAGCACGCCAGTCACGTCCGTGCCTCCCGGCGGCGGAGCCTGGACGCGCCTCTGGCCCACTAGTCGGTGCCCGCAGTCGCGTGCCGCTCCGAGCCGTGCCGGGAGTTCACCGAGCACGTCTGACCTCCCCGACCGCCGCCTGGGCGCGCCTCTGCCCCATACCCGAGCACCCCGTCCGGCGGCGGCTGGGACCGCCTCTGTACACTCCCTCGATAAACATCTCTCCCTGCAGCGCGCCGCTCAGCGGGCCTTCTCCCCCAGCCGGCGTGGGAAACGCGCCTCTGACGGCACACGCAGTAAGGCCGCTCCGACCGCGCTCAGCGACGGGAAACTCGCCCTTATCGGCGCCGTGCAGACGGTCGACACGCGGCCGTAATGACGGGATGCCACGCCAGAGCCGGCCGGCGCGGCGGACCGGCGGCGGCGGCCGGTGCCTACGGCGGCGCGCAGGGCCGAGCCGGCGGACCGACCACTGCCTACTCGGGACAGCCGCTGTGGAGAGCGCCGCGTCCCGCTGGCATCCGCACACGGTCCGGCGGCCGGGTATGTTGGTCGGTCGGGTCAGCGACTATCCAACGACGCGCTCGTAATAACGAGCTATGAGGCGCGGCGGCTCCGCTGAGCGCACGCCGTGCTAGACAGAGCGGGAGGGTGCAGCGCGCCAGCCGACGGAGCGATGGCGGTCCCGCTCCCTCCCTCCCTCCCTCCCGGCGCCGAGCGAACAAAGCAGTCGCCGAGCCGCCGCCACGCGAATAAGCCCAATTTCCTGTCGGGCCGTGCCGCGAGCCGATCCCATCAGCCACCCCTGCCTGACGCGGCGGCGGCCGAGGGGAGCGGCTCCCAGCGGCGCAGCGGCGCCGATGGCCGGCCCGGCGGGCCTGTTACCAGGCGGGCACGCCATTTTTTAATAACAGCCGGCCGGTCGGCGCCGAATAGCACCCGATGTGGTCTCCTCTGGACGGTGCTGCCGTCTGTCGGTGGTGACCTTGACAGAGCGGCGGCGGCGGTGGGCAGACGGGCTGCCGTGCGCCGGACGTAATCCCCGCGGCCGCGGCGGCGGCGAGCCGACGGCCGGGCCAAGCAGCAGCGCGCCGCACCGCCCCACTCCCAGCGGCGCGCAGCGCTCGTTATCGGTCGCAAACATTACCGGCGCGGCCAATAACAGACCCCGGCTCGGTCGGCCGGCCGGCCGACCGAGCCGGCCCGGCCCGGCGGCGGTAGAGACGACACGGCCACGCCAGGTGCGGACCCGCCCCGGCCGGCCAAGGTCAGCGCGGCCGGCCGGCCGGCGCGGCGGGGGAGGGAGGAGGCGGCCCGCGCCCAGAGACCGTACCAGAGCACGCACCACCCCGACCCAGGGAGCTAACCATTCTGACCAGCGCCTGGTGTGCTCACCAAACACCGGTCTCGGGAGGCACGGCGTTTGGTGCTCTCACTTGATCCAACGCGTGGCGTGCTCATCGCCTCGCACAGGATATGATGCTCTCACCACTCCGTTCATGGTCCGCAGTGTATACCCGGACTCAGGGCTCTCTGGTTCCTATTGCCCCGACCAAGGTTTGGTGGCTGCTGTTCTCACTAAGCTCTTAGGTCACCTCACCTAACTGAATTCCAGCCCCTGACAAGCTCT